AGAAACTATTTAATAATTTTGTATTTTTGTATTGAGATAATAAAATAATTTTCACATTTAGTATTATTTTACAAGAAAGGCACTTTATTTCAACGATTGTATTTCATTTGACAACTGTCAACTAACTTAAAACTAACTTCAGCCCGTGACTAAAAACCTGTTGCTAACTTCAGCCCGTGACTAAAGCGCCATAAAGCCACAACTTGTCAATTTGTATTTAAAAGGTCACTTAGTGTCATAAAAACATGTACGATAAAGGGCGTTTTAAAGGTGGGAGTAGAAAAAAATTTTTAAATTAAATAAGTATTTGTATAGAGCGACATATATACAAAAATAGAGTAACTGTAAGAATGGGAATCTGTTTTACCGGCGCGTCGGTGATAATGTCAAAATTGTGTGTGTAAATCGAAATGTTTCCGTTAAAAATGGACTAACAACAGTTTTTTACAGTGAAAGTAAAGAGAATGTCTCCACTGAAAATTAAGTTAAATTTAGTTTACTGCCTGCGAAATTAAAAGGTCAGTACAATGTTCATATTCATAAATATTGGCGTTAATAAACTTTATTTTAACGATTGTATGACATTTGACAACTGCCAACTAACTTAAAACTAACTTCAGCCCGTGACTTAAAACTTGTTGCCAACTTTAGCCCATGACTTAGCCTCTATAAAGCCACAACTTCTCGTATGCGTATACAAAAGGTCACTTAGGGCCAGTTAATCAATTTCTGGTTTAGTTCCAGTTAGTCTATCTGACAGTTAAATTCCATATCGATCCTTGTGAGAACAATGGTATCCATGGAGATTATCTGCCAGATAACTAACTGCAACTTTAACCGGACATTGATAAACCGGCCCTTAGTGTCATAGAAACATGTAAGGTTTAGTTCCAGTTAGTCTATCTGACACTTAAATTCCATATCGATCCCTGTGAGAACAATGGTATCCATGGAGATTTTCTGCCAGATAACTAACTGCAACTAAAACCGGACATTGATAAACCGGCCCTTAGTGTCATAGAAACATGTAAGGTAATGATAAGCAGTTGTGTAAAAATTGTAATAAAAAAACTATTATCCATCCTATATAAAGTACTATATATGAATACCTTCATTTTAAAATTCCAATTTTCCAAGTTCAACATTCAAAATGTCGAAAATAAAAGAAGACAAAGAAACAGACATCATTTTAGCCTCTTACGTTCCATTCCGGAAAATGTGTGCTCGAGAATATTGTCCCTTTAAAAATAAGCACCATTTTACACGATCTAAAAATAACTTTGTATTTACTAGCGTGGGGCTTTCCAACAGAGAAAATAAATTTAAGAAAAATTCCGAAATGCATATAGCGAGCGATTTTTTTTCTCCATATATTCGGTATAGTATACTAAATCGTTATTTCGTTCGCAGGTCGCTTTCGGTTCAGGCATGTGTGCACCAAATAAAGAACACAAAGACCTCCGCCGAAGGCAATAATCTTTTCGGTAAACAGATACTAGCAGTTGTCACTTACACTAAAGAATATTCTAATGACGTTCCGTCTCGCCCATTCATTAACAACACAAAAACTCCCTTCAAATACTTGGTATACAATTTTATATTCATAATTTACTTCATACAAGGGATGTTTGATAAGTTTTTTGTATACCAAAATAATTAATTCCTAATATTACACAGTATTTTATAAGTGCATCGAGGTTTTTGGTTGTTTATTTTATTTCGCGGGGTTTATTTGGGTTTTCTTTTTGTTTGCTTTGCTTAATATTAGGGCTATTGCTAAAATAATTCAAAATAAAAATATACGCTAAAGAAGTATCGCTAGTAGCGCCACCACTCGTAACAAAAGTAGAACTTTTTATAATCAGCTGTCAAACGCTTAGGTTACAAACGAGTGCTTTTGAGAATTAAGCCGGATAATGTTAAAAAATATCGAAAAAAAAAAACCTTGGATCGATTTGTTGTGTTGTTGGGTGTATATCGTGAGGAAATCCTCGGTTGAGTTTTTACCGGTTTTCCAATGAACAGTGTTAATCTGAATGAAGAAATAAATTGCATACAGTCTCTGTAAATATAAATTGTACCTATTAGATACAATAAGTATACATTTTAGTAGTGATTAACGTGAAAAGTGTAAACATTTCAATTCAGTAAAAATCGTCAAACAAGTAAGTGGTCTAAGTTTAAACAGCATTTAGAATTATTAAAAGGGTTGATTAAGAATTCTTTATAGTCTCCACTCAACGGTAAAATGTATTATATATAATATTATCTTCCCATGAATTCGTAGGTATATTTTGTTGTTTAAAAGTTGTATAATCTGTGAATGCAGTTGTCGGCGTTTTTTAGAGAACTCCAATATAAAAATGATTGATTTTAAGGTTATGTTATGCAAACATTATTTTTTACTAATTTCTTAAAAATGTCCAAACTTAAATATAAATTATATTAGGTAAAGTTATCATTACTTAATTCTGCACCAACAAATGTACTTACCGAATTGGATCGTTTGGCAAATTGGCAACGATTTAGTTCTTGAATTTTATTTACAATTAAAAACCCAATAATTCATCATGATCCCTTTGATAAAATACACACACTAACGTAAATATATAAGCATTTAAGCGTTGAGTTTCTTAATCAATGAAATAAGAAATAATCAATCGAAATCGAGTTATAAAAAAGTTTTTAATTTTTTCCTTGCAACGTAAAACACAAATAACGTGCGAGATTTAGCTGTGCAATTGAACAAAATTTGTCGAGTAAGACTGAAAATGATCTATAATCGGTGCTTCTTAAATTCACGCAATGCATTCGAAGTCCACCAGATGGCGCGCGCGTTGCGAAAACGCGATACTTCTTTAGCGTATAATTAGCAACTTTCGGCACGCTTGTATAAAAAATGTTAAAGTGATAAAGAAAATTAAGAGATGCCCTTGCTTGTAGAAAAAATATTGTTCCAAACACATGCGCAAAGTAACTTTTCTGCACTTATAAAATACATGTTAAATTTGTTCCTAATTGACAAAAATTGCAGAAACTGGCAAAAATAAATTTACCCTATACATCAATGATCTAGAGCTACATCTTGAGAATAACTGTTTGACCACTCTATACGCAGATGACACATCTCTTATACTGTCAAACAAGAGTAGCCAGATTCTCGAGATGGAATGTAAAAATAATTTAAATTTGTTATCGTCTTGGTTTGCTTGCAATTCTTTGTATTTAAATGCAGCCAAGACAAATTATTTAAGATTTTATACTCAGGGACATGGGTCTAAAGAATCTCTTAATTTGGATCTGTCTATTGATGGTTTTAACATCTCCAAAAAGGACCATTTTAGCTTCTTGGGCATAGTTCTTGATGAAAAACTAAATTGGAGTCATCACTGTGACCTTTTAATCTCTAAATTAAGCTCTTTGGTTTATTTATTTAGAAATCTTAGGCAAATATTAGTAATAGAGCAACTATTATGTTTATATCATGCACAGGTTGGTTGTAGAATCCGCTATGGTATTTGTTTTTGGGGTTCATCTACGGGTGCTGAACGTGTATTTGTTTCCCAAAAGCGAATAATCAGATGCATAGCCGGTGTTCCACAGGATTTCTCATGTAGAGAACTATTTAAAAAATTTAAAATATTGCCTGTACCATGTGTTCAAATTTTGGAGCTAGGCATATATGTATTTTTAAACAAAAGTAAATTCTTAATGAATTCTGATATCCACAATTTTAATACCCGAAAGAAAAATGAACTAAGAACGCAATGTAATCGTCTAAATTTAGGTAAAAAGTCCCCGAACAGTTTAGGCATACATATATTTAATAGACTCCCCTTAGACATTCAAAATGCTAAGTCAATTAACATTTTTAAAACGCTTTTAAAGTCATATTTGTTGTCCAAATGTTATTATGGTATAAAAATGTTGTATACAAACACATCCGTGTTTCTTTTTCAACGCTGATGGAGGACCATGAACTCTGGGGCTCAAAGTTGGTTCATTGAACTTTTAAAAGCAAAAATTAAATTAACTTTTTTTAAATTTCAAAAATCGTCAAAATGTTGTAGTTGATTAAATAAAATTATTAAATTGAAAAAAAATTATGTTTTCTATATTGTGCTTGATTTTTAGTTCATCTCGTGGTGTATTTTTATCGATTATTTTAGTAAATAAAAAAAAATGCATGGAATTTTAATGTGAATATTAAAAGGTCGCTCGAAAAATTATATAGTAATGCACTGATAAATTAAAAAAAATTATGAGCTACCTTTCAAAATTTAAATTTTTATCTGAAACTTTCAGAAACTTATTTTTTTATGTCTGTAAAATTATACCGTACCGAGAAAAAAAATCGATTTTTGAAATTTAAAAAAATTTGGAGCGACATCTAAAAAAATTTTTTGGCGCTGTCCTTTGGAGAGAACTCTTAAAACATCAAAAACTAACATATTTTCACTCGAGACTCAAAAAAAAACCCTAATCAATATTAATTATTATTAAAATTTAGCCAGCTAAAATAATGAACAAAATTAATAATGCATACTGCAATCTAGCTTAATTTTAATAATAATAATTAATTATTAATATTTAATGTATACATTTCTGATAGTGAGTACATATAATTTTTGCTTTTAAAAGTTCAATGCACATTTTTCATCAATTACTCACAAACATAGAGATATACATGCTTTACCTCTGTATTATTCGATTAAAACTAAAATTGCAGAACTATGACTGTATTTTAAACATTAAACTATTATAAATGCATATATTTATTAAATATCATATGAATAGATTATAGAACGAGTCTAGAAAATTATATAATTAATTCAGACTAAACGCCATTTCAGCCAAATTTTTAGCATTATCTAAATGCTAATGATGTTTTAAAATAGTTTTGAATGTTTTATTTTAAATTTTTATTAGTCATAATTTTAAACAATATTTGGGATGGTGTGGTAGGGGCAAAAGCCCATCTTTGCAAATTTGACCTTCGTCATAGGATCTCTTGATCTAAAACAAGTATATAAGCCGAAATTTGCAAATTATCATCACTCTCGTGGTAACCAACAATATCACACAATGAAAGCTTTTGTGGTAAGTCTTCTAGTATTATAAATCTTTCTTACATGGAAAGGAAATTTTAATTTAAACAATATATTCATTGAAATTTGTTTCTTTCAGTGCTTTGCTCTCTTGGCTGTAGTAGCTGTAGCTGCTGCTAAAGATGAAAAACCAAAGGACCCCAAGAAACGTAATGTTTTTGGTGGATTTGGTGGATACTCCACCGGATTCTCCGGACTTAACGGTGGTCTCTTGAGCTCCGGCGCCGCTTTCGACAACAGCGCCGCTTACGGATACTCCAGCTTGGGATCCTTCGGAGGTGCTTCTGCCCTCAACGCCGGTTCCTTCAGCTCCGGAGCTGCTTTGGCCGATTCTTCCTTGGCTTTGGGAGGTCACTCCTTGGGCTACTCTACCTACGGTGATGCTGCCATCAGCGGTGCCTCTTTGGCCGCTCCAGTAGTATCCTCCGGATTCGGCGCTGCCGCTCCAGTAGTATCCACCGGATTCGCTGCCTCTCCAATTGAATCATCTGCTTACGACACCGCTTCTCTTGGACTCGGTTCCTTTGGTGGTGTGTCCACCTTAGGAGGAGTATCCGCTTTGGGAGGAGTATCCCACTTCGGTGGAATCGCCGCTGCCCCAGCCGTTGAATCTGTAGGACATGTCCAAGTAGGCGCTCCCCTTCACCACGTATACCAAGCTCAAGCCGGACAAATCATCGGCAGGAACTTGGGAGTCCAAGTACAAAACCACGTAGTCAAAACCGTCGTAGAAAAGGTAGCTGTGCCAGTACCACGTCCAGTAGCTGTACCACAGTACAGAACCGTCCATGTACCAGCCCCATACGCCGTCCACTCCCAAAAGAACGTCGCCGTACCATACAAAGTAACCGTACCAGTTGCTGTAGAAAGGCCAGTTGCATACCAAGTACCACACCCAGTCGCTGTCCCATACAAAGTACCAACCCCAGTCGAAGTATCCAGACCATACCCAGTCAAAATCACCAAGACTGTCACCGTCCCCGTTGAAAGACCAGTATACATCCGTGTACCAGAAGCCGTCAAAGTACCCGTCGCCCAACCCGTCCCAGTACCAGTATCTCACCCAGTCAACATTGCTGTCCCAGAACCAGTTATCGTTAAAGTACCAGAAGCCATCAATGTAGGAAGCCGTGTACACACCCACACAGACTACAACAGCGCCGCTGGTTTGGCCGGAGTAGCCACCGGATACGCCGGTCTTGGCTCTTTCTCCGCTGGACACTCTTTCGACAACGGTCTCGCTTACGGTTCCGGAATCGCTTCCTCCGCTGATTCAGGTCTCGCCTACTCATCTGGAATTAACTCTGGATACACCTCTGGAATCAACTCCGGTCTTGCCTATGGATCCGGACTTTCCTACACTTCTGGAATCAACTCCGGTCTTGCCCATGGATCTGGTCTCGCCTACACTTCTGGAATCGACTCCGGTCTTGCCCATGGATCTGGACACGCCTACACTTCTGGAATCAACTCCGGTCTTGCCCATGGATCTGGACACGCATACACTTCTGGAATCAACTCTGGATACACCTCTGGAATCCACTCTGGATTGTCCACTGTCTATTAATTTATGTAGTAATTTAAAAAATACAAACCAATTACTTTAAAACAATTTTTATTTATTAACAAAACACTAAAAAAACCATTACCCCTTAATATCATCTTTTTTAATTAAATATATTAGGTATACCAGTCCATTATAGTCCATTATAGACCAGGAGGCGAAAGCTCATATTATAGCCGAGCATACATTTCACTGTCGAAGCGGGAGCTGAGGCAGTAGATTGTGTTTGAGGTAATTAATAAACTTTCAACGCCGGTTTTATATACTACTTTTTTTCAAGCACTAATTAGAATATTTATTGGTAAAATTAAACATCAATTTTAGGTAAGGTTCAATTGACATAATGCCATTTTTGTACGAAGTTTTATAATAATTTGACTTTTGACCTACTATTAAAATAAAGGGTTTCTATATAGACTTAAGTGTTACAATAAGAAAATTATTATAATCTTTTATTATTTTCAATCCAATTTTTTTTCATTTTTTTATTAAATGAATTTGACAAATGAAACCATTATTATTATAAAACTAAATTAATTAAGGGTAAAACTTTACTTTGTACAGAAAATTTTAACATAATTACTACTAAATTCGATTTAAATTAATGTCTGTTCCTGATAGGGTTTAATTGCATCTTTGCAATGTCCATTATTTTGTGTACCAAATTGGGTTTTATGAAACATGTAACGAATTATATTAATATAAAATATATATTATATTATAATGATAGCAGTACCTATTTGCAGTGTTAAAAAATATTTTTTTTTTTCAAGCGTAAAAATATTTTGATATTTTAACAATCTATATAAAAAGACTTAATATTAATACTAGTTAAAAGTCAAATACTATTAAACTCTGCACAAAAATAAACATTTCATGTCAGTTGAACCTAACATAACATAAAAATGATGTGACAGAATCGTAACAAACTATTTATTTAAATGCTTGAAAAAAATAGTATATAAGATACGGCGGCAAAAGCTTATTAATGTGTGCTTAGCGATAATATGTGCTTTCTCCGCCTGATCTATAATGTACTATTATCTACTCCCCTATTGATAAACTGTGACTCTATGGCGTTTTAGTTACGGGCTGAAGTTAGCAACAGTGGCATTTAGGCATTTTAGTCACGGGCTAAAGTAGGTTTTAGTATAAATTGGGAAAAAGTGAGGTTAAATCTGTTAACATTTAGTAGATGTCAAATGTTTAACAAATTAATTTGGCTTTAAATTCTTATTTGTGTTCGTCAGATAAAATATAGTAGGCAACTCGTTTTATAAACTTCTCCAGACACTCGTTATTACTAAACACTCGCTCAAAAGCTTCGCTCGTGCCTAATAAAACTCTAACTAAATGGCGTTTATAAAACTTAATACATAATATACTTTTTCTACTCCCACCTTTAAAACGTCCTTTATCGTACATGTTTACATGACACTAAGTGACATTTTAAATACACATTGACAAGTTGTGGCTTTATGGCGCTTTAGTCACGGGCTGAAGTTAGTTTTAAGTTAGTTGACAGTTGTCAAATGTCATACAATCGTTAAAATAAAGTGCCTTTCTTGTAAAATAATACTAAATGTGAAAATTATTTTATTATCCCAATACAAAAATACAAAAGTAGTATTAAATAAAGTATTAAAAGTATTAACTAGTTTCTCATCGCCAATATTTGAAAAGTTTATATGAACATTGTACTGACATTTTAATTTCGCCGGCAGTAGACTATAACTTAAATTCGGGCACGGACTCCACTGTAAAGTGCTCATAAAACATTTTCTTTACTTTCACTATGAAAAACTGTCAATTTTTAAGAAATAAATTTCGATTTATAACCTTTATAATCCGTATTAATAAAATATAAAAATTTGACATTTGACGGTGACACACAGATTCCCCTATTGTTTCATAGATGGCGCTCTATACAAATTTTTGATTTAAATCATTTTAAGATAATAATAAGTATTTTTCGTAGAAAAAGTATAGTATGCACCTCGTTTAGCTAGCAAGCTCGCTCGTGTTTAAATTAAATTCGTGTATAAAATGGCGTACATAATATACTATTTTTTAAGCGTGCAATAATTTTCATACTATGTATTATAATAACACATATAAGTGTGTATACATAGAAAAAATAATAGGTAGTTTAAAAGTCATATTATTATTAAACTCCGCTAAAATGTTATTAGGTTAGTTGAACCTAAAAATGATGTGACAGATTCTTAAAAAATTATTCAATTAACTGCAAAAAATAGTACATAAAATCCGGCGGCGAAAGCTTATTAATTGCCTCGAACCATTTATTTTTCCTATTCCATTATATTTACCATTGATATAACAAGTGGTATGATTATCATCGATGATATTTTTAAATTGAAACCGAGCTGCAGATTCCACAGGACGAGTGGAATGTGCTGCTTCGGTTTCAATAAGTAAATATCATAGATGATAATCATACCACGAGTTATATTTGGCGATAAAATAAAATTAATCTTAGGATATATCGAATCGTCAGTTAAGCAGGAGTTTTTATGAATTGTTTTTGTAAAACGCATAATAAAAAAGTCTTTTCTGGGGCCCGATCTGTCGCATTTTTGAAATCTTAAAATTAATTAGAAAATAATAGCACAGCATAATATTTCTCGAATTTAAATGAACTCGAATGTTTCCTGCCGATTCAAGGCGAAAAAATTGATTAAAACAAATTTCTTGAAAAAAAAAGAAAAAGTGGATAAAAATTAAAAAGAATAAATTGTATCCTCTGAAAATAAATGGTCATCATTTTAAGAGTTGAGTATTAATGAATTAAAATTTATAAAATATATTCAAAAAAAGATTTTTTTTAAATAAGCAAAATATAAAAAAAAATCCGTTGCGCTTGTCATGAAAAATAGTGCACATATCTCGAGGCGAAAGATGGCGATTTTTAAAAATTCCCTCAGAAATCGTCGCCTACTCTATATGCAATGTATTATTTATAGTCACTGACTAATGTCATGGTAAAAACATAACCTGGATATTGAAAAATTATTCAAAAACCCATGGTTAAGGTCAAGTTCAAAAGAAAATACCTAACATGATTATTATTATAAAAAAATAAATTATAAATAAACATAAAAATATACATAATAATTATATATATCTTTAAGCGTCCTTTAATTTAAGCTTTATTATTGTCAACGCTCACTATCAAAGTATTCGATTATCTCCTAGGGTGTAAAATAATTTAGACAAATCAGGGGAAGTTTACAAGTTCGATAGCTCTGACCTTTGTAACCTCACTTTATACTTTTAATAATTGTAAGTACGTTGAATGTATCGTATAATAAAGAAAACTGTGAGATAAAATGATGTATGACATTTGGCTTTATCTTTTTGTGCTCACGCGTCGGACTTCAAACTTTGAGCTCAGCACAAAAAGACTCACTTCTCAGCCTTATGACATAAACAGTAGCTGAAACGTTAAAAGGTTTTTGGAACTTTTCTTTGCAACCATTCAAGTATTTTCAAATATTTTTCGAAATCTCCTCGACTGTGGGACGCAATTTTGGGGGAAGTCAAAGTCCATCACGAAACTCGAGCAGTTTTGACATTTAGTTTTTTCAAGAAATATGTAAAGAAATTTTAGAAGCAAAGCAGGAGGTCGTACTGGAAATAATACACTTCATCATCATGTCGACGAGGGGACTACTCAAGTGAGAGAAACAAAAAAAATTACGAAAAAGCTATTGATTTGGAAACGTATGAAAACATCGCATTGGTTTATAAGAAGTTTTGGATAGGGGACATCCATTAATTACGTGAGGTATTTTTCAGATAATTTGAACACCCCCTCTCCCTTGGTAAGATTTGGTGATATGTAGTAGACCCCGCCTATCCCTCACGTGAGATTCTAGCCACGAAATTTTCTTTGCGGACAACATGATAAACCCCAAAAAAATAAAATAAATTGATTTTTTTTCACGTATTTAATAGATGTCCCCATACAATGTAAACAATGTAAACTTTAATGAATTGCAACAAAGTGCGGGAGAATTCGAAGAAATAAATGACGCTTTCGGTTTTTTAATTCCCGAAACTCCAAAAAATGCATAGAAAAGTGATTTGTAATCGAGAGTTAACTATTAATTGAAAAATACTCGGATCTAAAATTTGGTTTGATCAGTTTTACTAAAATGTAATTTATGTAAAATCGTGATTTTTGAACGACAGTACCTAATAATTATGAAAACAATTTAATAGTTAGTTTTCCTGAGTGCTGCAATCTATAAGATTTTAAAAATCGTGAAAAAAATATCGTCGAGCTTCTTTAGCTTAAGACATGCTAAAAGATTATAGTATTCTTTACATTGAAAGATCAGCAGTGAACTCACTTAATTTAGATTCTGTAATAGAAGTATTTGCAGAACAAAAGCAAGAGGAAGATTCAAATATTTCTGTATTCAATAAAATATCGCTTTTACCGTGACATTATTGCTCAGTTTTTTATTTGTACCTCAAAATTGGGCCCTCTTAAAGCATTGCGGCCTGAGACTTTTTTCTTAAATCCGCCAACTAGTTTTAAATAATTGCCATAATTATCGTTAAATTAAATTTTAAAATAAAAATGAAAATAAATTTTATTTTAAATAATTAAATATAACCTTTTTCAAATTAAAATAAATTAAAAATTACAATATCTTTTATACAAAACCTATATAAAACATAAATATGTAGCAAAATATTTTAGTAAGAACTTTGCAAATATGTTGATCTTTAAAATTTAATTATCGTATTTAAAATATATAATAAAAATATAATGTATATTAGAATTTATCGGCATTTACTTTTTTTACTTTAAAATATTTCGATATATGTATGATATAAATAATATGTAAATTAAGCAACCTTTTGGACAACTAAAGCATTTTGAAGAAATATACTAACGACCATTTTACATAATTTATTAAACTATTCAGCTAAAATTTATTTTGCAACAAAATTAAAATGGTTTTATGGTTTTTGTATCCAAATCTAAACTATTTAAAATGCTAATCATTCTGGAATGTATTATATAATTTGATATCGCAAAATTTATTATGATTCGAATCTAAAATATTAATTAAAAATACGCAAACTAATAAAATGTCAAGCCAAATATATCGTCTCATCTCAAAAACTGGATTTCCTAGTCCGTCCTTCATGTGAACAAAGTATAAAAGGCATTTTTCGATCAATCTCATCATTCACTTCTCAAAGCTTACACAAACAAGCATTACAATGAGAGCTTTGTTGGTAAGTAAACAACCCTTTATACTAATAAAAAAAAACATTATTACAATTGAATCGGCGAGATAAGAACAGTACAAGTCCAAAAGTTAAAATTTTGACAAATTATTTTAATAAATCAGTTTTATAGTTCAAAATGCATTTTTGTGGGAATATTTCAACTATTTTATAAAATATTATAGTTAATTTTTTCACAAACATGCATTTTAAACCTTTAAATTGAAATCAGAAAATGATTTGTCAAAATAAAAATTTTGGACATGTATTGTTCTTAACCTCACCGATTATTTATTGTTAACATTTAAATTTTTGCTCCAGTGTGTTGCCCTTTTCGCCTTGGTAGCCCTTTCCGCCGCCAAAAAAGAAACCGAAAACAAGAAACGTAGCGTTTTCGGTCTTCACGGTCTTGGCGCTGAAACCTACAGCACCGGACTTAACGGATTCAACACCTACTCTTCCGGGCTTGATGGCTTCAACAACTACGGCAGCTACGGTTCGCACGGTCTTTCTGGATTGGGCTTGGGAAGCTTCGGCTACTCTGACGCTGGTTTGGGAAACTTTGGCTACTCTGCCGGTAATGCCGGTCTCTACGCTGGTGACGCTTCCTTCGTCTCTGGTGCTCCAGTAGTATCCACCGGATTCGCCGCCGCCGCTCCAGTAGTGTCAACCGGATTCGCCGCTGCCGCTCCAGTAGTATCCACCGGATTCGCCGCCGCCGCTCCAGTAGTATCCACCGGATTCGCTGCTGCCGCTCCAGTATTATCCACCGGATTTGCTTCCGCCCCAGTAGTATCCACCGGATTCGCCAATGAAGGTCTCGTCTCCTCCGGAATCGTCCACGGCGGTACCACCACCCACGTAAGGAAAATCACCCAAAAAGTAGCAGTACCAGTGAACCAACCCTACCCAGTTACCATCACTCGTACCGTCCAAGTACCACAACCCGTCCACGTCCAAGTAACCAAGACTGTCCCAGTCCCAGTTGAACAACGTGTAGCCATCGATGTACCAAGGCCATACGCCGTCAAAGTACCACACGCAGTCCCAGTAGCAGTCCGTGTAAACTACCCAGTCGAAGTACCAGCCCCATACCCAGTCGTACAAGAAAGGAGAATCGAAGTACCAGTAGAAAAACCAGTCATCGTTAAAGTACCACACAACGTACCATACCCAGTAGCCAAGCCATACGCCGTCAACGTACCAACCCCAGTATACACCAAAGTACCCCAACAAATCGCCGTAAGAGTACCACAAATCGTCAACCACGGAACCACCGCCACCCACAGCCAATCCGGCAGCTTGAACTTGGCTCCAGCCGTCAGCGTACACAACACCGGAATTGCTGTAGACAGCGGTGTATCCACCTACTCCTCCGGATTGGCCGGTGGTTTGGGATACGGATACGGTTTGGGACTTGGATCCTTCGGCGGTGCCGCCTACGGAGCCGGATACGGTCTTGACTCTGGCTTGTCCACCTACTCTGCTGGACTTAACTCTGGTTTGTCCTCCTACTCTGCTGGTCTTAACTCTGGATACGTAAGCTCTGGATTGAACTCCGGAATCTACTCCGCCGGTCTTAACTCCGGATTGGTATCCTCTGGAATCTCCTCCGACATCGTATCTTCCGGCCTTGACTCCGGAATCGCATCTTCCGGCTTCAACTCCGGAATCGTATCTTCCGGCTTCAACTCCGGAATCGTATCTTCCGGCCTTAACTCCGGATTCGTCTCCTCTGGACATAACTCTGGATTGGTATCCGATGTAAGCTCTGGAATTGTAGGATCCGGCATCAGCTCTGGAATCGTAGACTCTGGAATCCACTCCATCGACGCCGGATTCTCTGGACTCCACAACACCTACTCCACTGGCGCATCTCACTTGAAATTCGCCCGCAGCGTAAACAAGAAAGCATAAGTCTCATTGTAAACAACATCGCAATTGTACCTGTTTTTGAGCAAGTAAATGAAATTTAATTTCCAAAAATTTGTATTTTTCTTACAAAAACCATAGCCTTTCCTATAATATTAACTTTATCGACAACAACTATAAATATTAACAAGTATGGTAAAATATAACCAATATTAAAAATAAAGGATATAAAAAATTCCATACTTCAAAGTTAACAATAACTATTTGAAAACCAATTTTTTAATTTTACATTTAATTAATTTTAAAATTTTACTAAATTTTCTTTTTTAAATAAAAACACTGTTTGCTTTTATAAAATGAGTAAGGAGTAAAATAACTAATTAATTAATATTTAAAACTTGTTTTTTTAATAAACTTTATTTTTAAAGATGAAAAAAATAAAACTAAATTCATTATTAACCTTAATAGGGACACTATTTCTTTAAAAATCGTAAGTTCTAATTTAAATGTAACATAACCCCTTTATCCACTTGCCCCTTCAATTCTGTAAAAAAAAATGTGCAAAATTAGTTTAGTTTAAGAACTTCAATTTAATTAAAAAAATTCTCCAAGACAACTTTTTAGTTATAAAACATACGAAGCAAAAGGAAAAAGAGCTTGAAGCATAAAGTTTTGTTTTGATTCGCTAGTCGTTTTACCACCTATTTGGCAGTTCTGTTCTTAGAATAATGCAACAGCAATTTTTCACAAAGTTTTTGTTAATTTTTAAGTGGACATTGGTTCAGTAAAGTTGAAAATCAAATATTTATTGCATTTTTTACAATTCAAAGTTATTTATGTGATAAGGCCAAGAAGTGAGTCTTTTGTGCTGAGCTGAGAAAAAGATACTTCTTGGCCGATTGGCATTCAACATTTTATATTCAGCCTTAAAGATAAAATGTTGTATGCCATTCGGCCAAGATTCTTGGCCTAAGAAGTGCATTTTATGCTTTGATCAATCAATCACGACTCACTTAAGCCTTGAACTTTATTAGGCCAAGAATTCTTGGCCTAATAAAGTTCAAGGCACAATTTTTATTGTTAAAAGATACATAAAACGTACAATTATTAAAATTAAAAAGTGGTGATCTGACGAAAGTCGAATTCTTTGATGAAGTAGTAAATAATATATTTTTACCAAGTGACTTTAAAGAAGGAGGTAAAATTAGTTGATTTGGGTGGGCTCAATCTGTTGCCACGAGAGAGAACGAAAATTATGTTTCTATCTTTCAATGTTCGTATCAAGACTTATGAATGAATTATATGCAACAGTCGTGACAAGACTCACGAATAAAGTAGTACTTTAAGTTACGAACACGGTCTTATAAAATACTTAACGAATGATAACCATTAAAAAAACGGTTAACGTAAACACGGGTGACTTTAACCTTTTTATGAAAAATCTTTTCACGCTCGATAAAATTAACATTTATAATTTGTTGGTCTAAACCTGTCAATTGAGCGATTCTATTGAGTTTATATTACAGGAAAATCAGTGTTTTAAAGAAATAATAGTATATTAAAGAACTAATGTCATAAGACGTCATTTTGTCCCACGAGGACAATTTATAAAACGAGCGACGAAGGACGAGTGCGACAAAAGGTCTTATGACATGAGTTCTTTATGCTATTTTATCTATTTTGCGAAAATTCTATAAAAAATAGTATATTACATTACAAAGGCAGGGCATCATGTCGCTCAGGACCGAGATTTCAACGTTTGGCCCCTGTGGTGTGTATACGAGCGAGTGTTTAGTCAGAGCTATAAATGTGTAAGTAGATAAATATGTTTTGTATCGGTTTGGCAGTGTTTTTTTTTCAAGAAATGAATTATTATGCTTTTTTAAATTTTAACATAAATTTAATAAAATATTTGAATCTGTACGTCCCTGATATAACAGCGCAGCGATTTCAGTTATCTATAGATGCACAATAGTAAACTAGATCCTAACAATGCACTGCAATGGTGTGACATGTGAATTGTGAAACTATTAATTTGTCTATGATGGTGCGAAGACAATATAAAGTTGTGCTTTCATGTCAGCAAATATCGGCGATTAAGTTTGAGCCAAATATAAGCATAGTGGGTCCAAAACTATACTTTAACATCAATAGCTATTTTTTTAAATCATGTTTGGTTATGGTATGATTTTTATATCTTGTCCGTTACGTCATCACTGCGAACCATTTTATTACGTGCAAATTTATGGAGTTATATTATTAAATGAAAAATTAATGTAATTTTTAATTATAATAGTATTTTATGTACCTATCAAGTTTGATAAACGCCATTTTTGACACGAATTTAATTTAGGACCGAGCGAGCTTGCGATCGAGTGTTTAAATTAATGAGTCTAGAAAAGTTTATAAACGAGTTGCATACAATACTTTTTCTACTAATTCTATTATCTATCTATTATCTAAAAATGATTTAAATTAAGTATTTGTATAGAGCGCCATCTATAAAACAATACTGCAATCTGTTGCCGTCAAATGTCAAATTTGTATGTGTTATAAACATAGATAATAAATCAAAATGTATGCCTTGAAAATGGATTAAACAACACTCTTTCACAGTGAAAGTGAAGAAAATGTTTTATTAGCACTTCACGGTGGAGTCCGAGCCCGACTATAAGTTATATCTAGTTTACTGCCGGAGATATTAAAAGGTCACAATGTTCATATAAACTTTTCAAATATTGGCGTTGAGAAACTATTTAATGCTTTTTTATTTTTGTATTGAGAAAATAAAATAATTTTCATATTTAGTATTATTTTGAATGAAGGGCACTTTATTTTAACGATTTTATGACATTTGACAACTGTCGTCAAGTTAAATCTAACTTAAGCCCGTGACTAAAAACCTCTTGCCAACTACAGCCCGTGACTAAAACGCTGTAAAGCCACAGCTTGTCAATGTGTATTTAAAAGGTCACTTAGTGTCCTGGAAACATGTAGATAATGGGCGTTTTAAAGGTGGGAGTAGAAAAAATTTCTTTCCCCATATAGCGAGGAGAAAATTCAGAAAAAGTAACTTTATTTTTAAAAACTTTAAAATATGACCGGCATGTTTTTTAGTTCTTAAAATAACTACTTTTTTTCTTTTTTCTTAATGACTTATTAAAATAACAATAAATACTAAGACTTGACTGTTAAAGCACTGTAAACACTTAAAAAACATTTAACTACGCCACTGAACACAAACTGTCAGTGTAGTATACGTATGTCGTATAATAATAATAATAATTATAATTTATTAATCACCAAATTACAACAGACGACATGTCAAGAAGATAAATTAAATGTATAGGTACTAAACACAAACATGTCTTGTTTTTACTTTAAAAAACAATAGAGACAATCTTTTCCTTAAATTATTATATGGCATAACAGCATGCAGACTGCAAAAAAGATTTTATGATTTTTTTAAATTCATAAAAGGGTTTTTCTCTTAGACCAGTTGGCAAATTATTATAGAGGCGAATTCCCACGAAATAAGGAGACTTTTCATATTTTGAATGACAATGCATTTCAATGGGGATGTTATCCTTAGATCTGGTGGTGTATTGACATTTATTTTTATTTATTAGTTCTATTTTGTTATTATGTACCAGACAAAGAAGTTTGTATATATACACTTCCAAAAGTTACAATTCCATCATTTTTAATAGCTATCCCATTATAATAAATAACAAATAAACGTTTATTTAGCTAAAGCTATTATAGTTTCTTACATAAATAAATACTTTACATATACACGTTTTGTTTAATATATGTCAATAGTAATTTTTTAAAGTTATTATAATTATCACAATTTTTAGTTTCTGTTGGTAAATTATTAAACATAATAAGGCCATTTTTAAAAACATTGTTCTTACATTTAGCAGTTCTAGAAGTTTCTATATAAAAATCATTTGTATTTCTAGTTTGATATGCAACGCGTCGCAACGTTGCAAGACCTGTATATAAGACAGTGCGCGCGGAGTTGTACTCAAGCCCGCCTGAGCTACTTATAAAACCTTAATAATAAGTTTCAATATAAAATCGCTCCGTTGGGAGATAGTTAGCGCTGCCTACGTCGCGACTAGGGTTGGGACAGTTGAAATTTTCAAATGAAAATTTCAACTTTGAAATTTCAAAATTGAAATATTTCATTTAGTTGGAAAAGTAAAATTTTTAAAAATTTCAAATGAAATTTTCAATCCGAAAATTTCAACATTGCCTGTGAAACTTTCAGAAATTTCATTGAAAGTTTTGCAATTTACTGAAAATTTCGCATAAATTTCACATGCGGCCTCCCCTGGGACCTTTAATAATAATTTACAACAAATTCCGAATTGACCAATAAGAACGAGTTATCAAGCGTCTGGGCGTTTTTGTTTAGTTCGGCTTGGATTTGAATACACTATAAGTAATTACACTAGTAAACAATAAAAAAAGGTCGCCCAAAAAATTTTCCGAAGTCTCGTTTAGACGATACGGGCAGGACCATGATACAAAAGAAAATTGTTAAATAATAACGATAAAAATTAGTAAATAAAAAAGGTCGGTAATAAAAATAGCACACTCCTACCTATAGATTTTCACCTGCTCGACGCAAATCCGGCGACCAAAAAATTTTCCAAAGTCTCGTTTAGACGATACGGGCAGCACCAAGATACAAAGAAAAATTGTTAAATAATAACGATAAAAATAAGTAAACAAAATAATTTGAACGATAAAAAACAGTAAACATCAAAAAAATATGCCTTAAATTTTAACAATATGTACAGATATGTTGTTCATGGAATGCTGAAATATAAGTTAAAAGTAACGTCATCCTACAATTTTCAAATGGTGTAGGTATCTATGCAATAAATGGTACCAAAATACTGTGCTCCTATTTTTTATTTACGACTTCAGAAATTTTTTTTAAAAACATTTTGGATCTATTTCAGTCATAAACAATCGAAAAATTCTATTTTTAACCAGGACCTTTTTTTTTAAGTTAAAATTTGTTGCCAAGT